ACGTTTGACCCTGGAATTCCCCTACAGCTCACTCCTGCCGCTCTGTCAGAAGCACAATCAGAAATGAGGGCAGATGTGATTTCATGCCAGCCGTTTATCTTGACTCATGTCATTCCAGGAGGAGACTACAGGAGGGCTGACGGCGTGTACGTGGTCACTCTCACCGTGTTTGCTGCCAACATGCACTGTCTGGCTCTGCCCAGGGTCCGCACATGTTTTTAAAAATGCTTGCTTTTAACTCGTCATCGTGTCATGTCAGCCGGCATCGCGCTCTTAACTGCTGTGAGGTCGGAGAGGCACAGCTGACAGTGAACTTTATTTGTTTTGTGATTTTCCTTTGGCAAAAAAGGATGTTCTCCAATGGATAATGTGACTATTTAAATATTGTGTGTTTGTGTACATGAACTGTGATTACAGTATGCCCCACCCCGGGTCATAAAGTTCGTGTCTATCTCAGGGTTTTTAAGTAAGATTCAAGGGTGGCTGCCCAAAGGGACGAAGCTACAGCACCAAAGAAGTCCTCTGCTGCACCTTGTTCTTTCTATCATCTGCTTTCACTGTCTTTTCTCAAACGTCACAAATCTCACCCCCCTCATCTCTTTATGAACAAAAAAAAAAGAAGAACGTTGACCTTAACGTTGACCTACATGACGTCAGATTGTACTGACGCAGCAGTGGGATTGAAACCATGAATGTCTAACGTAGCCCAGCACAACTGAACAGTAAATTCTGTCATTTTCCTCGTGTGCCTATGAGATATTAACCTGGAATTCATAATCTGCAAAAGAAGAGGTGTGAATGTAGGGTCCCGATGACTTTCAGACAAATAAGAAAGAATTGAAGCAGTGGCTGGTTCTTAAAAACAAAAAGAAGAAAAAAAAAACAGACAAAGATTCAGCAGCACGTTTAATCTCAATCAGCTGCACATCTAACCAAAAAGAAATCTACTTTTAATGACGTAGATTTCGTATTAGGACATTTACTGACTTAAGTATTACATGTCCTAATCATAATCACATTAGACAGGTCAGTAAATGCAACATGAGAGTATTCCCTGCCATTTGAGCTGCTGCTGTCTCGTTCGAAGACGACGACAGCAGAACTCTCAGTGATTCCTGCCTTTGGGAAACAGAGGGTGGAAACACACACTGCCAAAAGAGCAGCTACACAGGTCAATTTATATACTTGAACATTGAATGTTTTTATATTTTTCTGCACAGGGTTGTCCAAAGAATATGCCTTATGTGACGATTCACACAGTCACCGCTGAAGTCGTGCATTTTTCGGACCTAAGAAAATGAAGAAGAAACCGCAAAAATGTGAGGAGGTGTGGTGTTTGTCGGAGCGAGAGTTTGGGTTTAAGACTACTGTACTGTTTAAAGCTTTGTTTACATTATTAATATATTGTATCTCCCCCTTAACCTCCGAGGGTTACTGATGTTTTTTTTTAAGTCTTGTTTAACCTTTGCCAGTAAATGTTGGTCAAATGTCTTTGTACATTTTATGTTATGTTACAAAGGCAAGAAGAATCTACCTAGATGTCCCCAACCACATGTCTGTGTCTCTCCCTGTTCTTGTGTTGGATTTTTATTGAAAATGAAAATCAAGTCCATGAGGGATCTTTATTTATTTGACGAGCATTTTTTGGGCTGTTAATCATATTTAAGTGTAATATTTGGTTTGCATGCTGAGTTCACTTACGCTAAGGGGGCGTGTCCTCTTCTGAACCATCCATGAAGGCTTTTGCACAAGGCACAAAAGGAATGATCCCTAAATGTACTGAATGTTGCGGTGGTAGGAATGTGAACTTGCACTATACAAGTTGTCAAAATGAATAATAACCGAGAGAAAAACAAATAAGCAGATAATAAAATAATTGACCCCGCCCCCCCTTAGAATATGTTCTAATACTGGCGATAAAAAAAAAAATCTTTTTTTTCAATTGCAATGGTCCAAAGAATGTGTCTTTCCTTTGAATAATTTAACACTTAATATGCAACTTGCTCTCACAATCTTCACTGAAATATGCTTGAGAACCATGTGCAGCCCATTAGTAGCTTTGGTGTCTGGGTGATCTACCTCATGTTTACCATTGTTGTTGTGGGTTGTGAACATATGTCAAAAGAGCCATGTGATAGATGTTGAAAATTTGTGAATGTAATAAAGTGACTTACGAGGTCTTCTGTGCTGATTCATTTGTAGTGAATGAATTGGGAGTCACTTCTGTTAATTATTTAAGGGAAAATAGAAGTTCTACTGTATGTTAACTGGTTTCTAAAGTTCTCCTGAACTCCAGGGTTCCACTTCCTGCTCAGCCCGTCCTCTGCCTTCACCTTGTGCCAGCTGCAGCCAAGTGACTTTACTGTCCTAATGTAACATATTTAACCAGCTCTTTTTTCATGTTCTGTTCTGTACTTTCTCCAGATCACGGCCAGTGTTATACAACTGTAGGTCCTGTCCTCTTTCTAGGCCGTAAATAATAATCTCCTCTGCCTTCAATCCCAGGTGGTTTCATTCTGCCCAGGACTAAATCCTCGCCCTGCACATCTCGTCTCCTCTGCGGTCCCACTGTGAGCACGCCGCTGACCCTTATCTCTGTTAAGAGCAGAAAGGGCTCAGTAATGGATGCTAAGAGCTGCTGTGGCTTTACTACAAGGTCACAGGGGGCGAAGCTGCTGCAGGGACTGCCCTATTTCAGCTCCTACACTGCAACATTGGAGCAAAAACTCCCATCAACCCACAGCCTTTGTGATGTAACACACAGGGCTATTTCAGCCCACAGCAGTCTGGATGAGATGGGATCATGTGGCGAGGGCACGGTGTCTGGCAGCTTGATTCATGCACCTCACATCTGCTCACTGTGGAGAACGGCAACAAGATGAATTGTGCAGAAAGATCATTACAGTGAGTATTTATTTATTGTAATTTTTTTTTTAAAAATCTCAAAGTATTTAATTTGCAAGAGGGCTAGAGGTTAACTGACTTTTTCAAGACAATGGTCAATCATATGATATCCTTTTGAACTTTGACCTTTGTATTTTTTCTATTAAGCAAAACAAAAAAGAGTTCAGTTAAACCATCCATTATACTCTACAGACAGGATGTACTGTAATATAAGCACATACTTTGGAGACAACACACATTTGGACCTGGAATCTGTTTAATCATTTATTCACTTCATCATGTTACACCTGTGTTGATCATGTGCATATAGATGTACTTTTACTATAGAGAAACTTTTTCAGTTCAACTCTTATTGCTGCACACCTTGTCGAACATTTTTCCGTTGCAGTAGTACGTATACCGTGTGCGGTACGTGTACTACTTCATATGTATGTTTATCCTCCCAATAAAACACAAACGTATCATTTGTGTTCACAGATTGTGAAGCGATGCCTGGGACACGTCTGGGAGTGGGATGCAGCCTACTGACTGGACACCAGGTGGAACAAAACGCATCAACAGGAAGTCAACAAAATCCCTCATGCAGAGCAGAAGCGATAGACTGGTCGTCAGCGGGAACGGTTTGTTTCATGTTACGCCAACTCACACACGGTAGCCAGCCGTTTGATCACTGTTGGCGGAAAACAAAGTACTAATAAAAGGCTGACAGCCAGAATCCATCACCCATATTTACACACATATATATAATTGTTTTTAGTGCCAGGCCAAAAGGAGTCTAATTAAATCACTAAAATAGTGCAATTTCATTTTCCTCAACATTAGTGATTTTTTTTCATGTCACGTGACATGTCTTGTATGTTAGTCAAATAACTGGGCCTATAGATGAGAATGAGTGGAAAGAGTTCACTTAGAAGCAGACTGTTAGTTCAGCGTAAAGAATGGAAGCAGCAGCGAACAGCCAAACCCTAACTCTACATAGCAACCTGCAAGCTACAACAAACTCCATTTTATCTTCACCTTTAGACAAAGCTTTAGCTAACGGCTTCACAGACATGATGCTGGCTTTTAAATCCTTCTCATGTTATTCTTGAAACGAAAGCAGAAAACTGCTGTCTGTGAACTGAAACCGACTGACGACTGACAAAATATTCAGCAGGAACGAATTGGAAAATACAACTGAACCAGATGGGGGCAGACTTGACCTCAGTAAAATGCACAGCTAGGCTCAGTTTTTAATTATCTTACCATTAAAAAAAGATGAAAAATGGGTAGATATAAAGAAGGGAATAAATATATGGATGTGGGCTGCAGCACAAATGCTACAGAAAAAAAGAAAGCAGCAAAAAAGAAGAAGGATTAAAAGAAAGGAGGAACAGTAAAAGTGGGAAAAAAGTAGAAGAAAAGTAGTAAAAAGTAGAAGAAAGAGACTGTGAGGTTCAATCATCAGGAGAGGTCTGCGAGGCGGTTGCCGTGTTCGATGACTGCTTTAGCGAACTGCTTGAAGACTCGGTCCATGTAAGTGCTCTGCCGAGGCCACAGACCCTCCAGGAAGCCAATATGGCCGCCGTGACAGGTAATGAGCATGGCCAGGTTAGGATTCTGTTTCACTGTCTCCACTGGAATGGCTGCAGAGGGAAAAAAATATATAAAAGTTCTTTTAGATTTATTTTTTTAATTAACTAAAAGATACAGTTTTACCAGTGATTAGAGTCACATTCTTTATTTCCCAGATAAAAGATTTAAATCACTGTGGCAGCTGCAGAATTACAGCCATTCAGGGATTCAACGGTGAAAAAAGAAGGAAAATGGAATGAAAAGACAGAAGAATATAAACAATAAAAAAGGCAATTAATGTAAATTAAAAAATATTTATATTACTATTACCATTTTATTCTTATTCTTATTCTTAGTTGTTTCTGCTCAGTCTCACCGTGAGATGGTGAGAAGACGTCGTCGGCAGCGTTCAGACACAGCATTGGCACCTGCACAGACTTCAGCCCGTGGATGGGACTGGCATCGCGGTAGTAGTCGTCGTTGGTGGGATAACCAAACATGATGGAGGTAAACCTTTCGTCAAACTCCCGGATGGTCTTCGCCTGTGATGGCGCACAGTGATTTAATGAACCTGTGGTCACCTCCGCTAATTAGACCAGATATTTACAGACGGCTGTCACTGACCACGACCCCTGACCCCTACCTTCATGATATGATCAATGTCGTAACATTTTTCAAGCATCGGCCTGTGTCTGAAAAACAAAAAAAAACAAAAAAATATAAAATAACTTATTTCAGAGTGATGCTTCGTGACATAACTGACATTTTCATCATCACCGACCGGTGAACTGAAGCTTGTAGGCAGCTCGTGAGATAGGAGTTAAAGAGGAAACGGTCCAGGGGTTTTTCCAGCGAAGCCGTGCACTCGAACGCATCCCAGCCAGCTGAGAAAACTACCACGCCTCTCAGGCAGGTCTCCCGCCCCTTACGCCCCAAATAGTTGGCCAGCATCATCCTGGGTCACAAAGAAGAGAGGGCTTGGGACATGAACCATGTCTGACCAACCCAGGGTTATTCATTAGAGCTCTGAAGGAAATAAAACTGGATACAAGAGTTAGATGGTTAGAGAAAATAGCCAGACTTTCTCCAAATATTGAAAGAAATATTGTAGTATTAAGTATTTTAAGTTTAAGTCAGAAGACAAAAGATGAAGTTAGAAAAAGCTAAATGTGAGACAACAATTAGCTAATATACAGAAAGACCAAAAATAGTTAAAAGGAAATTTGAACTTATAATAAACTATGATTCATATTTAGAGGAGTAAGTTAGGATCATCTAAGTCAGTGGTGTCAAATTCTCGGCTCAGGGGCCACTTCCTGGCCACGAAGCCCTCACATTGGCTCCATTACCCGCCCATGGACACTCCAGCAGCCATGATTGGAGCAGCTTCAATCCTCCTCTGGATGTGTTCAATGACAGTCTCCAGATCCTCTGTGTTAGCTGCGCAGTAGGTCCTGGGGGTCTGGGTGGGACACACACAAACACACACATACAGACACACACAAATTAATGTCATTCAAGCTATGTATTTATTATTCATTTATCTGTTTGTGTTTTTGTATATAAGAACTACTGCAATAAATCCCAGTGACTGAACAGAGGTTTGAATCTCACAGGGTGTTTACTGTTTGGTAAAAATATTCCTGATAAATGAGTCAAAAACTTCCAGCACAGATTTTTCTAGTTCCAACAGATAATTTTTTTCTTTAGTGCCGGTCCAGCTGCAGTCAGCAGTGGAGTCTCCACATCAAGTCTGTCTATCTTAAATCAGCCTGTCAAGCAGAGAAGCCGGTTCAACTCTATAAAACAAAGCAGTTTATCAACGACTCTCAGGAGGCTTCTCACTGTCGACGTCTCCACAGACGGAGCCCTTCATTAGGATTCAAACAGAAACTCAGCAAAAGTAAATCCCTGCTTTTCATTGCTCTTTGGAGTTTTTTCTTCCCGAGCAAAATCTGGGTTGTGGTTGATAATATTTGAAACAAGATACAGAAAGGCTTTTTTTCAAGAGGGAGAGAACTTAAGAGATCTAAGTCTGCTTCACATGGGTGTTGGAGGAGGAGAACTTTTTTAAGGGATTAGGAAACTGGATGTGAATGCGGCTGAGTGAGGCTGAATTAAAATTCCAGATGCAGTACCAGGGTTTAAACGAGGCTCAGAGACAGTGAGGACTTAGCAGAGCGGAAACAGAAACCCAGAAAGATGCTGTGAAATGTGCGTCGACTGGAGGACATCGAAACGAATGTGAACAGATAAAATGTCTTTGTGAGTGGACAACGTCCCTGTGTCAAAGTGCACCGACACAGAGGACAGACATGTGGACATGTGGCCGAGCGATATTAGCATATTATCTAATATCTGTAAGAATCGTTATAAGTTTTTCCTCCAATAATGAAAACCTGATAACCCAATGTCTGGGTTTTGCCAAATGACCTGTGCCCTAAAAATTGTTTTGGGGATAAACTGCTGTATATTTAAGTGAAAGTCACTAGATGGCAGCATTGCAGCTCATTTAATTAATCTCATATTCAAACAGGGGTTTGTACATCCCTAGTAGTACTATATATCATCAGATGAATCCAGGTGTCTGTGATTTATTGGCCCTGCTGTGTTAGAACATTGTCTGTGTGGCATCTGCACTCTGGGACACATGTCCAACAAACACCAGGTCTGGATGCAGGAGAAAAAAAAAAGAACAACTCAATTGAGAAGCTGTCAAACTGACAAATAGGAGGGATAAAGGAAGCATCTGTTGTTAACAGCTGGCCTTAGTGGAAAACAGATGACAAAAACAAACAAGAAAGAACAAGACAGGAGGAAATGATGAGAGTATTACCAGCAGTGTTTCACCCGAAACCCCTCTGTTGTTGAAAACCACACATCTGTAACAGACAAAAAAACTGTGTCGTCACCAGGAAAGTCCTGCAGCTCATTCCGGTTTGTTAAGGAATTTAATAGATCTTTGTCTTCATTACCATTATGCATAATTACACTATGGAATTAACATTCATTGTTTGCACTTACAGCAAAATCCAAGCCGCCGACCGATAATATACAGAAGAACACGGAACTGTTATTTCAGCAACAATGTTGGCAGAAAAAAACTAGACATGCCCCAACAGGTTACAATATTATTTATATCTTTCACTTTGTTTAGTGTAATAATAGCTAATTCTCAAACCAAGCAAAAATTGTTTTGAAATTGTAATTTCAGTATGAATCAAATAATCAATTACTAAGAGTTTATATGTTGACCAAATAAGCTGTTTTTATTTTTCATTTTATTTTCTGCAGAATATCGCTGTCATAAACGAACGGATATTAAACTGCAGTTCGCTAATGCACAGCGTAAATGCTGCGTTTATATCAGCCATGACGGTTGCCGAACACTTATAGAGTGCACTGTTGTGCTAACTGTGGCCAGAAGACGGCGACAGTCTGCAGAAATAAAAACAACTTATTTGGTCAAAATATAGAAACAATACTGGGCCTTGAATACATGGCTTTGTGTGGACTGCCACGCTGCCAAACAACAACAACATCATAATATATCTGGACAGTAACAAATTGCTAATTTTTAGGCAAAGAAAGCTCATTGAGTTTGTTTGAAAACTATGAAAATAAATGTTACACAACACGAGTAGCTCTTAGCCATTTTTATTTTGTACTTGACTTATCGTAGACTTATTTACAGCCCTGTGCTGTGATAGGCTGACCTAAACTTGAATCCTCCACAGATGTAAGCCCTGTGCTGTGATAGGCTAACCTAAACTTGAATCCTCCACAGATGTACGTATGTTGGGTGTGGAGATGGTATTTTTACTTCAAGGTGCTTTAGTGAAATTGCAACTGTTAAAAATGTTAATCTAATTAATTTATCAGATGAAATAACATGATGAAGGGTTTCATTTTGACTGTCCTATAAATGTAGGGCGAACTGTGGGAACTGTACTGATTCAGTGCCCTTAATGTTGCCTCAGCACTGCATCTTAAAGGAGGGAATCAAGCCAAGACCACCCACCTATAGCCCAGATCCCGGCTCTGTTGGACCATGTGCAGAATGTAGGACTCTCGGCTGGTGCCGGTCAGTCCGGGAAGAAGGAGGACAGTGGGCCTGGTGGCGGCGTAGGGATGCAAAGGACTCTCGTCGTTGTCGAACCAATCCAAAGAGATCTGTCCTCCATCTGCTGCCTTAATAAGCTCACTGCAGAGAAGTGAGGGACACAGAAGTCAGCAGTGTGGCTCTCTGTGGACATCATCATCTATCTGTCTTTCAGTGTCTCCATCCATTTGTCTCTGCTGGATCTGTGCATCAATTCAACACTAATGATTGTAGATGTTAATGCACATCTGCTCATTTAACAGCCATTAGAAAGTAAACGATGATATAGCTCCGTCCATTATGATTACGGTAATACTCTCTATGCAGTTGAAGCTGAACTGTCTCACACTGCAACTATTGCGCACAAACATACGCAAGGTGAAATCAGGAGCACGAGTGCAGCCTCGTCTCTCTCCTGATCTGCCCGTCTCTTTTCTCTGCGACACCCAGAAAGTACAGTGAAGCAGGAAAGGCACTGCACCACTGGCTCCTTATGCTCAATCAATTTCTGGACTGTACCAGCCCAGCCTCAGCAGATGAGGTCATTTATCTCCAGAGCCAATGCGTTTTCAAACCTGCACTGCACACAAACACAGGCAGCAGCCCATGAGCCAAGTTGGCAGGTCGGTGGTAAAGACATCAGCATGAAATTAGAGAACGGCCATGAAATATGCACCTGAGGCGAGGCGAGCCAGGCAGAAGGTTCTACAACCTGCAGTGTCTGTTGCACACAGTGGGAGGCGACCTTCCACCGGGCAGACAACGAGAAGAGTCAGATTTCAACTCAGGCGGGGAAAACAACCAGACAGCAGTGAGAATAACAAACCGTTTTTCTTTTTTTCTGCCTGTGTTTGAGTCAACTTTGTGTCACTTTATTTACAGGATGTTCTGTAAACATCGGAATATTCTAGCAGGCCTCCAGGCTTCACTGTAATCTCCTCTATGATTGGGGGCCAGTCCGCAATGATACTTAATCATTTACTGAACGACAGTATTGAGCAGCAAGAGAGCGATCCAAGCCTGCATCATGGCACAAAAGTCTATTTCTCCTCTCAGTCTAGTTGTGACTAGTTACAACACAACAGATTTTATTTTAATCTGTGAAACCATGAACAAAAAATCAGAACAACGCACGATGGCCATGCTTAGAGCCCAGGTCACTTTTACCAAGATTTTTTATGATGAGGACTTACTTTCGGTACACAACCCCAGGTTTGGCTGTGACGAAGGGCCGCAGCAGAGTCTGGATTCGACTCTCCCAGCACCAAAACGTGGGGTAGTAGGTCTCTGACACCACTGGGCAATGATCTCTCAGGAACTGGCAGAAGGTCTTGCCCCCCGAGATGAGCTGCGGTTTCTGTCAATACAAGAGAAGATAAAGTTTTGTCTAGTTGGACAAATCACAATGCTGCAGGTAGCAGCCAATCACAGCAGTTGTCAGGTAAAGTTGTATCCCACTAAAAGCTACAGGATTAGCCTGCAGCCATGTTTTAGCACACACGGCTAGAGACTGGATGGTGCATTGGAAAATATAAGAAATGCAAATAAACAACAAACAAACATAATTATTTTATACAATGTATAAAATAGTATAGTAATAACATTTTCTCCCAACAACGTTGGAGGTGTACAGGCCCAAGATAGTAGTTGTATTTCTCATTCAGGTAGTAAACAGGTAGTGTTAAAAGGTAAACAAATGTCTGAAATGTCTGAGAAACAATTTGAATAAACCAACAACCATGAGGGTGTGCTACACACTTTCCGTGTGGGCTGTACATTTAACTATACATGCACAACATGCAACACAAATGTTTTTCTGGTTTGTTTGTTTTTTTTGCACATGTAAATCCTACTTTTCTGGAATTCAAATTGTCATTAACAACTATTTAAAAACCTTTAAAATAAAATGTATTTTGTAATGTTTACGTGTTGTAAAAATGTAAACATGATGCAGGATAGATAGATAGATAGATAGATAGATAGATAGATAGATAGATACCATATATTTATAATATGTGTTTATTTTGTTTATACCGGGTTATAAGCAGGTTTACATGGAGCCATGTCTGTGTTGGAGGTCAAACATAATCAGGTTTGTAAAGATAACCTTGTGTCCGCACCCTCAGCCTCTGCTGTGAGCTGCTATTCATCACGCCATCTTTACCGCCCTGGCTTCGGCTAAAACTGAGGATTGTTTAATGCAGTTGCATAAGTGCCGCACATGGATGAGGATAATATTTATCTCTGATATGCACGATCGCTGCCTCACAGGCTCTGCACAGCCTGTCATCGGATCACATGTGCAGGAGGAGCAGCATCATCCGCTCCACCAGCAAAACCGGTGCACGTCGGTCGATCGACGTGTCCGCAAACGACGCAAGACATGATACGACTTTAATGTAAACATCATATATTAGACCCCTGATTTCATTAAACGCACACTTTGCAGCACTCACCTTCGCTACCGAAAGCAGGTAGTAGCAGGTGTAGGCTGCGCTAAAGCCCAGCACCAGAGACAGTCCCACTCCTGAGCCAAAGAGACCAACTTTCACCTGATTCTCCAGATAATGCGACAGATCTCTTGTCAAAATGTTGAAGTTGAGGTCCAACGAGATCATTGCAAGGTCCCTGTTGTCGTTTTTCCTCCCGGTGTGCAAGGACAACGGCCAGCGCGGGTGATGTTCAGCTGAGTCTGTCTGAAGGAGACAGTCAAGGGGACCTGACGAGGGCAGAGACGTTACCGCCATCACCGGGCGGTGGCGCTCTCCGATCAGCTATAGCTGGACTCTCACAGTCGCCACCTGCAGTCCGCACAGGGCGAGGTGGGGTGGATGAATGGATGCGTAAGTGTGCAGGACTGTCAGTAGGAATGTTTGACCTTTAATAACGCAAACAACAGAGGGATGTCCAGATTTTGCAACTTAAAAAAAAAAAACACGAAGCGACTGGCTAGTGTATACTAAAAAAGTTTAGTTTTTAGATATTTATATTAGTTAATTCAACAATAAAGTAAAAACACATTAGTTGCATCAATACCTTTTTCTCATAATAATCTTGTAACATAAGGGCAACGGTAAAGTACTCTGGGAGGAGAGGGGGTCACCTTTCACTTCTGGTCTATTGGGGTCTTCTGTACTTTCCAATCCTGCTGGGACACCTGACACAGAGTAGCAAATTAAATTGTAATTTGTAATTAAATTACCTTCAAGATCTATAATGATTATGAGTGGACTGCAGAGGCACTTCACAGAGGTAATGTAGGAAATGGTCCCAGGGGCTCCAGACCCAGAGGAACCACCTCCAGGCTCAGTAAGGGAGTGTGTAATTAAATCAAATTGACTAAGTATTTATCAAGCATATATTAAATGTAATTTTAATAATTTTAATAAAACAAGACAACAAAACTTAACATCTACAAAACCGTGTAGTCAATCTACTTAGTTTAAGATTGAACATTGTGGAGTTCAATCTTAAACTAAACATCCATTGTTTTGCCAACATCTACAAAACCGTGTTCCACAATGTTCATCTTAAACTAAACATCCATTGTTTTGCATTACTAAATCCTAATGGGTCCAAAAAACAGGCTCCGAGGCTAAAAACACCATAATCTTTCAGTAAACCACAGTAAAGTATTTTTAAGAATAACTTTATTTATGATGTGGTTTATTTTAAAGTTTTCCAGTATACTTGCTTTGAGTAAATGCGTTTTTTTAATCTTTAGAAACTATGGAATTTGCAGGGAGGTTGGCCATGTTTATGTTCTTAAAAATTCATTGATAAAAATCTCCTCATGACGCCAATACGCATGCGCGCCTTGGCCTCCAACTCCACGGCTTGTTTTCCCAGGCCTCGCATCTTCGGTTTTTATCGTCTTTTTCCGTGGATAGTTGTTGCTTGCCTGAGCTCTGGACGATGATTGACAATAATGGCGACACGATCATCCTGACTTGACTCCAGAGAACCATCTCTGGCCGGAAAAGGAGAAGATCTGGATGGATCGCCTGCGTCTCACGCAACAGCATTAAGAATATACAAACACATAGAGGAAATCTATCTGCCTGAGTGAGAAAGAGCTACTAGTCCAGGGATCATTATCCTACTAGCACTGCGATAGCTAGCGACTTGAAGTGCTAGCCTGCTAAGTTGGGAGGTGTTTCTCTCTGTGAGGTAGAAACGAAGAACTTGCTAAGTTGTATTCTCTGGTCATCCAAGCTATGCAGAGATTTTATACGTATGTATTACTGTAATAAGTGTCTTATACTGAAGGCAAGAGAAGCAGTGGCTTGCAGCCAGCGTTAGCGTGGGGCAGTGTTTGAGTTGAGCGTCCTTAGCTGGCAGGCTAAGCTCCCCAGACTCTTTCCTGTTTGGGCTTGCTGAAAATTGTCCACCAGTGCACAAGGAGCTAGCCCGGCTGTGAGACGCTGCTAGCCTGCTTAACTTAAACACAATTCTCTGTGGTTTTGCGACATTGCTCCTCCAATGACTACCGGCAGGAACAATCGAGCCATGATGGAAGGAGTAGGAGCGAGAGTGGTGCGTGGACCTGACTGGAAGTGGGGAAAGCAGGACGGCGGAGAGGGACATGTCGGCACCGTCAGGAGTTTTGAAAGTCCAGAGGAGGTGGTAGTTGTGTGGGACAATGGGACGGCTGCGAACTACCGTTGTTCTGGAGCGTATGATGTCAGGATACTAGACAGTGCACCAACAGGTAACTATACTAATCCCTGTATGTTTCTGAGAAAATGACTAACAACTTTAGGCTGGCTGAAGCTCTTCATTGTTGCCTTTAAATTAGTCGATCGACCGATGTAATTGCACGACTGTATTGCAGAAAAATGCAACCTTTACTGCATGTAAACTCACTCAACAACTCAAAACAAATCCACTATCTTTACTGCACTCAACAACTCAAAACAAATCCACTATCAATATTTTATTGGGACCAGCCAGAAAAAAAACCGGTCCAATATGCAGCCTTTGTTCGTTGGACTTAATTGTGTGTATTATTTTCTTCCATCATGGGTCAAATAATTATCTCCCACTATGACAATGACCCAATCTTGACCAAAGAACTGTATAATGTATAATACACATGTCGTTGTGTAAACATGACCTCAATAAACAGGACCAGTTCACATATGTATATGTATTATTATGTATTATCTGATGGTATCAAGATAAGAAGTGACACAATATGCCATGTATGCACGTCACAGTGTAAGTTACTTACACTGTAACTCTATAGCCATGTCACATAATGAGCCTCCAGTGCAAAACAAAGCCCAACAATGCAGGTGGGGTAATAAACAACAACAAGTGCAGCTGGGATGGAACTGTAAAAATCAGCAACAGCACTTATTTTTATATTTAGAAAACTTAGTTGATACATTAGTATTTTGACAGTGTAATTACAATTGTAATTCTTGTTGTGCTTCGTAGTTGCATAGTGACTTGTGCAACACAAACGTTTTAATAAATAGATTTAATAGCAATCGTTGTCTTGTTAAAACAGCCATTTTGATGACAGTATATAATAGGTAAAATAACTTATTATTATGTGATTACTGAACTTGGACCCTCTCTCCTCCCAGGCATTAAACACGATGGAACCATGTGTGACACCTGCCGTCAGCAGCCCATCATTGGCATTCGCTGGAAATGTGCTGAGTGCACCAATTATGACCTTTGCACAACCTGTTACCATGGAGACAAGCATCACCTGAGACATCGGTTCTACAGGATCACCACCCCAGGCAGTGAGAGGTTTGTTAACCCAGCACTGTTTGACAAGAGAGGGCTTCTCCGTACATCTGCAAACACTGAGCTTAGAGCAAGTTAATGAACCTAAACTCTCAGTGGTTGTTTGGCCTGAACTTTAATCATGTACTTGAGCTTTATTCTGCTCTTGGTGCGTGTCATTTGAGAAGTCTTTTTTGTTCACGCTCTCTTTCAGGTCCACACTATCTACTATATCTCCGTTCCCAACCTACAGTTGCCAGGCAACACCTTGGCCACATTTTTAGATGCATTCAGACCTAAAACACAATGCATTAGTGTTAAAGATTATTTATTGGTTTTATTCTGAACCAAATTCAGTTTTCTGGTGTTGTTGCTGTGTTGTTTAACTTTTGCTATCAACAATTTGACAAGCTGGTGTCAAGTTGTTGCCGAATTGTCCTAATGATGTATATACATATCCAATATAGTCTTGTCATTTTATTTTTGTTGAGAAAGCTGTGCTGCGAGGGTGTTCAACATCCTCTTGAATAAACACTTGATAAAATTGCCCTGGAAGCAAACCAAAATGTATTTCTCTGTGGTAAAAAGCTCCTGGTAAAGTTTTTAATTTCCTCTCCTGGTATGGGGGCAAGTAATTATATCTTGAAAATCCATTTTTAATTTTACTTTTGAAATAATGTGCAGTCTCAGACAAACTGCCTGGAACTGGTTTGCTTTGAGGTTTAAAGTGTCAGGCTTGTCAAAGACGAAACTAATGTGTGTTATGTTTCAGACCCTGACAAAGATGTTCCCACAACAACCAAATATCCAAATATGGGTGGTGCTGGTAATAAATTAAACGCTGCTTCATCATACAGCTGTAAATAATAACATGACATTTCAAAATATCGCTGCTTCCTTTTCATCTACATAGTTATTTTCTTACCACCATATCACCATAAACACTAGGGAGGTGGCTACAGTCAGCCAGCGAGTGTGGAGTCTGTCCTCCACCCACAGCCTGGCTTCATACTGTAGCTTATCAATGTGTCCCGGGGCAAAACTTGTAACCCCAGGCTAGCAATTTCATCTGGTTCCGGTCCCATACTTGGATAAATAGTGAGATGTGTGTCAGGAAGCGTTTCAGTTGTACACAGTGGCTCATATCGTCTTACTTATTTAAAATTTATGTCTCAGAAGTTTCATTCGGCACTTCCTTTGCTTTGAGAAATTGGTGGTGGAAACGATGATTCACACGGTTGATGTGGATATTATTGTTAATACCTGCATGTAGAGGCAGATCAAACCGTTAAAGGCAGTTACACACGCACAGAATCTGGATTTCATGTTTTGTCAGGACTTTACATCGACATGAAGCATTTCCAGCTTCTTACCTTAAGTATTACAAACATCCCTATCCTGACCCAAACTCTAATCTGGTTCTCATTCTTTTTCCTTTATTTTCCTTTAAAAAAGACCCCCCACAAGTTTAGCTGTACCTGAGACTCTGGGGCTCCTGTTTATGTGCATGCTAAATTCCACCACTTCCCTTTAACTTTGTCACCTCAGAGACTGGAAGTAGTTAGTGCTCCAAAGGCACTTTTCATTTATCTCACACCTATGTCAGCCAAACACCATATTTCAACGAACACATAGTTGAACAGCTGGCAGCCTTTTCTAGTCCGACTTCATTTCCCCGGAGACAGGCGTTACATAATGCACAATGGACGACGGCGCTCTCCCCAGCCTGCACTGCTCCGACAGCGTGGCAGGCTGTTTTGTTATAACACATTAGATGGTTTCACTAACTGCTGAAGAGGGAGTGGTTATGAAGTCTCAAGCTGTTAACGCTGGTTAGACCTGCACCGTCCAGCTGCCACGTCTAGCATCAAGGCTCACATTGTTCTCTGCTGTTAGGAGCTTGGCCTAATGTTATTTTTTTTCGTTGCTTTTTTTTCTTCCACTGGCTTAGTTGGCATTCAGATCAAAGCATTCTAAAGCAACAAGAAATGTAATGAATTTGAATAGAATGCCATGTGCTGAGCTGTGAGCCTGGTTGTAAAGAGAGGGATTTGACAGCGAAGTGTGAATGCTGAAATGTGGTTGAAACTGTTGTTATTCAGAGACTGATGACATCCTTCACAAATGCACATGTCCTGTGATATATTTATTCCTGGAGAAGAAGGAAATTATTTTCTGCCTTTTCTGCCTGCTTCCACTATAGTAACAGACCCCAGGGCCATGACGGTCACCTCTGTGTAAATGGTTGTGCTGCAAAGACAAGGGCGTTTTGACCCTCATGGAGAATTTCCTAAAGGCAACAGAAAGTCAAAAAATCAATCTGACCTTTTTCCAAGCTCACTTACACACGCTTTAGGTACTGTTGTGGTTCTATAATGTTAATTATCTGAAAGGATGGAGCAGGGATGGTGTGTTATGCACATAGCTGTTAAAATATTTCATCCTTTGTTTTCCTATTTAAATTTCAGTACTTGGAAAGAATCCCTGACAGACAAATTGTATTATTAACAGACAAGAAGACTGTTCAATGTCAGCAAAATATATATTTGAGATAAAATATAACTCAGTCTGATTCATCTTCTGAACAGAGTACTTCTGGAGTCACGTCGCAAGTCCAAGAAAATCACAGCCAGAGGAATCTTCACCGGGGGCCGGGTGGTGAGAGGAGTGGACTGGCAGTGGGAGGACCAGGATGGAGGCAATGGAAGGAGAGGGAAGGTAAGAGAGCACTGCATTTAATTATTGCTCAAGATAAAAACCTGCAACTCAGAATTGTAATAGCCTTAAACACACAATTGGCCACTTGGGCCAGTACAAATAGTTCCTGCTTATCTATTCCACATTACTTTGCACAAAACCCAATGCTTATCTGCATCCCAGTGACTTAGAAGTGTCTGTATTAGACAGGCTACCCCAGTGTGTAAAGTAAAAGTAAACACTTGTGCTTGCTGCAGCGATCAATGCCACTAAAAAGAAAGAATTTGTCTCTGATTGATCCTTTTTCTCCGGCGAGCACAAAGCTCGGGACAGGCTTTGTAATTTTGTCATCAGCTCTTAGAAGTAGTTGTAAACTGTTGTGCACTCAGGTCTTTGGTCACCCATGCTTTTTTTTGGTTTCCCTTTTTGTTCGAAGGAGCCTGATACACTTTAAATTTACGAATAAACTCTGCAGAAATTGTTTACTTTCTTTAAAGAGCTGCAAAAATGATCATTGATCACTGTCACTGCTCACTTAGTTTGTTTCAGACCAGTTTTTTTGCACCATTCATTGTTGAGCAAGTTTTTTACTGCCTTGGTACACAGACAAGGGTCTTTGAGAATTAAAAGAAATTATATAAAAATAAAAACTTAAAGGGAAAAAAAGGGAAAATCTCACATTCAAAAATATGGATTCTACTTTGTCTGTGTTTTGGCACAAATATTTATATATTAGTATTTTAATTTTAGTTGAAAAATAGCCAACAGAAAATGCAGCCGCAAACTACAACAATTAACTTTGTTGTAGTTTGCGGCTGCATTTTCTGTTTCATTGCAGTAGCTGTCAGTAGCTTGTCTGTAACAATTTTTATTCTACACCGAAATACAAATATGAGAAAAAAATCGTATTAGCTATATTCTTTTACCTCGTCGTTCCTTTCTGTCTCTACTGAAGATATGAATTTCCCATGCAGGTTATTCCTGAATTAAATACCTCATTACAGTGTAATATGATGCCTGATGAGGTGCGTTTATTTAGCACACTCTATTTAGATTTATACTGTAACTGTGCTGTGAAGTGTGTCTGTTTTGACTTTGGTCCAGACCCTGGAATATTCAATTTAAGACTCCCTGCAGGCTATTCATTGTGCTGTGTTATTTAATGACATATCTCATTACTGTTTTATGATGCTGTGAGCAATATGCTCTCCAGAAATCTACTGTTGCATGTTCTGCGGCTGAGGTGTTGTGTTAGTTTAGCATGAATACATCTCCTAAGGCCCATTAATCAATTACCTTTGGAAGAGGTCTGGAAATGATTAAACCATTTGATTTCCTTATTTACTTAGTCACACTTTTTAATTAAAGAATTAATTAGCTCTGCTGCAGCTCTTCTGCTGCTTTCTCAGTGGGTGGACTCTGTTGTTCACACTGTGATGGAGCAAGAACCTGTACCATTTTTTTAGAAGCACATCCATACCAAAATAATTGTGTGATCATTTTTTGATGAAGTATTAATGACATTTTTAAAAAGATCCTCTAACTACTTAACTGCCACATACTGTAGTATTTGTTTGGATGAATGAACTTGAGGTCAATGGGGTCAACATTATACTACTACTGATCCAACTGACCAGTATGATAAATCATCTCCTCGTCTTAAAGCTTTGTGCTCGTACCTTAGTCGACTCTTCTGCTTCTTTTTTCTGTTTTGACCTTCACTCCAGCCTCACTTTGAAGGCAACCACTGTGTTCTGTTTCCAACAGCGATCAGGGAAAGATCAAATCTAGTTTTATATTGAGGTTTGACAACAGAAAACGACTGTTGTTAAAATCACCTCCTCTGTTCAATGTTTTATTTTCCCTCAGGTAGGAGTATGTATGTCAGGCGATTCCTTTAATGTGTTGTAGATGATATGACAATAATAAATAAAAATAAATAAATTGCACACAGGTGTAGATGATATGACAACCCAAGCATCTGTGCTTGGGTCTGTGTGCAATTTATTTATTTTTATTTAGCCGTTAGATTTGGAAATACAGTGAGTGATTGACATTTTTCCATCATTTGGATTAGTGACAAATTAAAACAAATGTGTTCAAGGAATATACTGGAAAAAAAGGTTGATTTAGGGATGTGTCTTCTCCTGCTGACTGTTGATGTTTCCCTCTGTTCTTATACAGGTAACAGAGATCCAGGACTGGAGTGCAGCCAGCCCTCACAGTGCTGCCTATGTACTGTGGGACAATGGGGCCAAGAACCTGTACAGAGTTGGATTTGAGGGAATGGTGAGCGCACACACACAAACACACGCACACGCACACAGCCGTAAGTCTCAGCCACACAAAGGATCAGCTGCCAGCAGGCTTTTGTGTATGGCCACAGGGCTGAGGTTCTTCCTTTTGCTGCCAGGCCTTTGTAGGAGGCCCACAGCAGGCAGGAGTAAGACACCATTGTACAGGCAGCTGGAAGAAGAGCGCATCTGCATGATAAAGGCAATCTGTTCCTCCTGCTTTTAGGAGGACTAGAGTGAACACAGAGGTCAACATCAGAGGAGGGAGTGGGTGCAGCGACACATGCGTCTCAATTGTGAAGCGCCCTGCTCATTGGTGGAGAACTCTGCTCTATTTTTTTCAAAATAGCCAATGGGGTCCCTAGGGTTGCACAACCGTTTTGCCTGTTGTTTAAACACATTGAAAGCAAAGTTGGTGGCGTCTGCCTCCAAAAGTAAATCATGGATCAGACCTCCCACCCCAACTGTTTGATTTGGCCCTTGTTCTTCATTAAGGCTGTGGTTAAATCTTTCAAACACACAAAAAAGGGAGTGCAGCTCACTGTACTGTGTGTTCCAAACGTAGCCTGAGAGGACTTTAGCCCCCACCTAACCCCTTTTTTTTTTTTTTTTTTGCAAAGTCTGCGCTCTGCTCAAAGCAAACACAATTTTTTATAAATGTCCTACAGAGGAAACAGAGCAGACTTGTAGTTTAATTCTTTGTTATAGTTCGGACCCTCTTTTTTTGCATCACTTCACAGGGATGCCTGTGTGGTAGCTGCATATCTGAGTCATCACAAATGATATGATGAGATCTCTAGTTCTCCAGTGTTGTGAATTACTGTCAGGCTTCACCCTCAGGGCACCAACGCTGTTAGTATTCTATACAAATACACTGTTGCCTAGAATCAATTCTTATTGTTATTAGTCATAATCTGTCTTGGTCTAATGATCTAACTCCACCTTCACCCCAACTCTTCCAGTCGGATCTGAAATGTGTGCAGGACGCCAAAGGGGGCTCCTTTTACAGAGACCACTGCCCAGTTTTAGGTAAGTAAGCCGTTGTCATTGCAGCACTTTTCTCACCTACTGTTCTGGTGCAGTGAATTCAAGGACACAAGGGGGGGAGTCGTAATTTACCCCTTCTTCTCACTAGATGGCAGCACTGCCTAGTTACCTCTCTCTAAACCCCCAGTCACCGGCTCAGGTCATGCAGTTAAAATGTTCCAAGACTTTAAAGGAGTTAATTGTGTGTCTCCTGATTCAGCACTGCAGAAGAGTTCTTTAAATTGGCCTGATATTTTATTGGACTGCAGCACTTTGAACTGTTGTCCAAAAAGTTACTCCTTAGATTTTCTTCTAATAAGAGTGAGCAAAATTAAAAAAGTATTTCTAACCTTTTAATTTTTTTTTTTTCATTTAGGCGAGCAAAATGGCAACAGAAATCCTGGAGGTCTGCAAATTGGCGATCTGGTCAACATTGACCTTGACCTGGAGATTGTCCAGTCCCTGCAGCACGGCCATGGCGGCTGGACTGATGGCATGTTTGAAACCCTCACGACCACTGGCACAGTTTGTGGCATCGATGAGGATCACGACATTGTGGTTCAGTACCCCAGTGGAAACCGGTGAGTCTGTTAATAGACCTGCGGATATTTGATCACTTCCAGTAAGATGAGACTGAGTTTTCCACATAACTATTCTGTACTTCAGTTTGTACATTTTAAATCTAATGTCTATAATTAAAAAAAAAGTATTATTACTTTGCCTGACCTTTTCCCGTTAGTTGTATAACAACATTTTTTAAAAATGTATTCCCACTTTACTTCTTATTTCTATTATATAAATACAATTCCTCAAAATCGGTGACTCTTTAGAGACCTTAAATGTTTAGCAATCAATAAATATTTCATCTGTGTTCTGTATTTTCTGTTATATTTTTATTTTAACTGAGAATATTTTAAATTTAGATTTTATTTGGGGATGAACTTCATGTCTTCCGGCTCGTTTGTAAGTTTTAAACCCACCAAAATCCTCCTAGACTGCCACAGCACAGCAAAATAGTCTCTAATTAAGACAAACTGTATGGTCTGTCGAGCTCCACGACCATTTCCCCAAAATCAAATGTTATTGCACCGTCTCAGTCTTGGTTGATATTCTTGCCATCGTCACAGTGGAGGTTGTTAGCTCCGACTTTATTGTTTCTTTGGTGAAAATAATTTTTGCACACCTCGATAAAAGAGTAGGAGGAAAAATTTGCCTGATGCTCAAAGCTAGTTGTCAGTCTTATACCTACATGCTGTATTCATACAACTTACAACACTAAAACTACAAAGATTTGATTTGATTTTTTTTTTTTTTAATGCAAAGATGGACATTCAATCCAGCCGTGCTGACAAAGGCCAATGTAGTGCGCAGTGGTGAGGTCGCAGCCGGGGCAGAGGGAGGCAGTTCCCAGTTCCTGGTGGGAGACCTGGTCCAGATCTGCTACGACATCGACCGCATCAAACTGCTGCAGAGAGGACATGGAGAGTGGGCCGAGGCCATGCTACCAGTAAGAATCTCTGACACGATCACACCGATTTATGCAGTTGTAACCACGGTGGATGTGATTTATCCAAATGTCAATTTAAATTTATTGTCTCATTAAACCTGTAAGATTTTCAGGGGCCCTGTTTTGACAACATGATGGTGTTATTATTGATTTTAAAATAATGCAGTGTGGCGTATGAAACTTTCATCTTAACTGTAGCTCTTAAGAGTAATATCAAGTCTGTAAAGTACTGTAAATATTTAACATTGCATTATGACATCTGTGTATTAGCAGGTACTTTAGTTGTAAGTACATGCATACAGGTAACCTGCAGTCAAATTAGAAAATTTGGGTTTTTTTTACATGTTCTTCCATTGCATGTATTTGCACCAGTAATGCTGACGTATATGCAGTTGGATTTAAACAAATATACCAGTCAGCTGAGTATAACATGTAGGAAATAATAACAATATACATATACATGTCTATACATAACTAACTAATGAGTTGCTTCTCCATGGCCTAGTGTTGTTTTCTTCTTCTCTGATGGATTCTTTAGCTAGCTGGTACGCAGCAAACATGATGTCACCATCTTATTTTTCTTAAGCGCCAATAGCGGCTAAGGGACTGAATCAAAGGCCACACTTGGAGCAGGTTTTTGCTGAATCACAGCTTAACTACTTGAGACGAGGTGGGGTGTCTCTGGGCTATTCCCGCTGTAGCTTTAAACCTTGATTGTGAGCTGCACTGTAAAAGATGGTCAAATATTAGAAAGTTGAAATTTAAAGGAGCAGTATTTCAACACACAGACACACAATTTCACCCCTCACTGCAGTCCCTGGCTTTCTTTTGCTGCCACTTTTATTCCTTTCCCAACAAGACATTATTCTTCTCTTATTATGAAGTTTATTCATTGCTGCCCAGTGTGTCTTGGATTATGCAGTGCCAGTCTTCTCCAATATGCCACTTGTCCCTGCCAAACTACCCCCCTCAGTAGCTAATGAGCCTTAAAACCCCGAGATGGGTTGTGGCTTTGATCACTAACCACGGCTGTTTGCCGCCCGCTGCTGCTTCTGCTGCAGCAGTCCCTGTTATTGATGGCATCCTCTAGGAAAGCCCAGGACCCGGCTCAACAGATAAAAGTGCCTCGCTCTCACATAGCCGGGATCAAGATGATGTGATTCAAAATTGGAAAGCATTTCACCAGGCCCTTTCTCTTCTGCTCGCATAGAAGAGCAATAGTCTCGCAAGAGGTTTCCTCTGTATCCATCTTCCCAACGTCCTCTGAATAATGGAAACACGAGGTTTCTTCTGTATCCATCTTCTGTCTTTTGCAGCCCAACGTCCTCTGAATAATGGAAACACGGCTTTAATTTATAATATTTACTTTTTTCTGTCAGCTTTTATTTTCTCAGCAGCATTTGTCTCTGCTCCGTTCTGTTCTTGAGCTAGTATATTTTTCTATTTTATTTCTCTACTTTTTCATCCCACCACCTTTTTTTTTTTGCTTTATCTGACAATCTCTCTCCATTTTCCTCTGCTCCTCATAAACTCTATTACACCAAACATAGCCCAAAGACAACAGCCCTCCAAATACAAATAAATTTCTCGCTACATTTATCCACAGACCTTAGGCAAGGTGGGTCGTGTGCAGCAAATCTACTCTGACAGTGACCTGAAGGTCGAGGTTTGTGGGACTTCTTGGACGTACAATCCTGCTGCTGTCACCAAGATCGCCCCCTCTGGCTCAGCTGTCAGCAACGCCTCTGGAGGTTTGTATAAAAATGCACTTCTGACACAGGCTTGTCTGTGTTCTTTGTCCTCTCTGCTCCCTTTTTTTCCTATCTCCCACACGCAAACACTCGTCTGATGTTTTCCCCTTGTTTGGTTAGAGCGTCTGTCTCAGTTGCTGAAGAAACTATTTGAGACACAAGAGTCGGGAGACATCAACGAGGAGCTTGTCAAAGCGGCCGCCAATGGAGACCTGGCCAAGGTGGAGGACATTCTCAAGAGACCGGATGTAGATGTAAGTGTCCACAAACATTTCACTGTTTTGTACAGGTGGCTACAGAAAAATCCAAATGAGTTTTTAACGAACACCAAATGAGATTTTCATGCTATGTTATAAACACAACACAGCAGCGGTGGTGTTAGCTCTGTTGCATCAATTCAAGTCAAATTACTTGTGCACTTGTTACCAGGTGACCAGCTAGGAGGTGGAATGAGGACGTTAAGGCAGCTGAAAAGCAAGTGATAAAGAGGAAGAGTAGTTTTGGTGCAGACTCTGTTTCACCGACAGAAATAGCTCAAAATGCACATATGCCCGATAACAATAAAAGCTTATTATGATCTCGACCATATTTCATGAGGAATCTATGAGCATATTGCAGAATGGCCCATCTAATAAGGCTAATAATGGTGAAAAAAAGTATCTTGAGCCACTTCTTCTATTGGATCTGTTCCAAAATGTAATGTGTTCTTCCTTGGGGCACGCTTTGCTGTCTAAAACATTTTATGGAAATGGCTAAGTGGTTTTAATGTGAACCCTACATTCAGACAGAAAACAAAACTCCAGCGGTGAAGTTAAAAAGCTGCAGGACACACTAAACAAACACAAAGCACCAGAAAACGCACGCTTTGAACCCTCTCATGTCGGCACTTTCCCTCTGCACACCTCTTTGTGTATGGCGGTTGCCAATTATCAGCTTTATTAGATCACGGTACAACTGTGATTCATCTTGTGAGGCTGATTAGATTTACTTCTTAGGTATTGAAATTTGAGAGTAAGTGACATTGTATTATCGGTGTTCAGTGCCGAGCTTCGGCTGTGCTCGTCTTCTCTCCCTCTTTCCCGAGGAGCCTGGAGGCTCAGAGGAAGGTGCTCCGAGATCCTCCCACTCCTGCACCTCTCTCTATCTGAAAAGCATTAAGGCTGAGCCCAGAGCAGGCAACAAGGGCCACTGGCATCCACTGCAGCACGGGCTCAATTCACTCTTAGAATAAAGAGGAGATCCACAAATCCCATATGGTTGGACACTGTGTTCTGACACATGCTGTAGGCCAGGGAAAACACCCTTTTAGGTTATGAGTTATAAATCTGCAATATTGTTCTCTCCGAGAGAGGGGAGTGTGCATGCTAGTGGACCAGTCTCTGTGTGTGTCTGTGCGTGCGTGCGTGTGTGTGATGATGGCTGGCCAGATGCCCTACTGCCTTTCAGTGGAATTATTTGCTTGATGCTGAGCACAGTGAGCCTGGCCAAGTGATCCGGCTGCCAGGACAAGAGATGTCTCGAGACTCCCAAAGGAGTCCACATTAATATTTATGCTCTGAGTTTTTGCAGTGCTGCAGTTAGTGATGAAACATGCACACACACACACACACACACACACACACTGTCAAACGTGCACTTCTACTCACATGCACACACACTCCACTTAAACACAGCCTCTGAATCTCTGAGCCCCTCAGGTGATCAGCCCATTCAGTAGACGTAGAGCTAAACATGCAACATGACATTTTTATGCACCTGTTTTTTTTTTGTTTGTTTGTTTTTTCTTACACCCTGATTGATTGATCTGTTTGCAGGTAAATGGCCAGTGTGCTGGACACACTGCCATGCAGGCAGCCAGTCAGAATGGTCACGTAGATGTCCTCAAGTTGCTGCTCAAACACAATGTGGACCTGGAGGCCGAGGTGGGTATAATTGAAAAATAATGTCGCTCATCTTAATTACAAAAATGCATCTTTTGTCATGAACCGCACGTATCTGGGCACGAAGGGAAAACCACCACACAGGCAGAGTTCTCTCTTATTATGCCGGTGTGTTCTGTATCCAGGACAAAGATGGAGACCGTGCAGTGCACCATGCGGCCTTTGGCGACGAGGGCTCCGTCATTGAGGTGTTGCAGAGGGGCGGGGCCGACTTGAACGCAAGGAACAAGCGAAGACAGACTCCACTGCACATAGCTGTAAATAAAGGCCACCTGCAGGTGGTCAAGACCCTGCTGGACTTCGGCTGCCACCCTAGCCTCCAGGTTTGTGCTGTGTTATTCTATACGCACTGTCGTCATGCTGTCTTCAAACTTCAATCTTGAAGACCATCGCTTCTCTATCTCAAGACAGTGTAACACCTCACATGATGCTACCAGCAAATCAAATTTGAATGTCACCTCAGGGTTGTTTCCAGTTTCCATTTGACTTTGTCACTAGCTTTTGTGACTTTTCAGACCTTGTGCAGGACTTGACACCTACAGACAAATCTGGTGACATTCTAGTTAAATAATGATCCTAGTATTGGTCTACGACATGGACTGTGAAGTCGGCGACCGTTTTTTTCTCCCCCACAGCCACTGGCTCCTCTATCTGTCCTCTGTGGAAACCATAAACATATCAGTAATCTCATCCTGCAGCAGCAGCTCTAAATGTCCTGAAAAAGATCGGGAAAATATTTCAAGAGATGAGTGGGAATCCTGTCAATGGGGGAAAAGCCTCTCAGTGAGACCCTGAAAAAGACCAGAAATGTTGTACTGGTTTTAAAAGTCAGTCTGTGTAAGATTATCTTATCTCACTTAGTTTGCCTGAGACATCTACAAGTGTCTCGCCTAGAGAATCTCCCAGGGACCTTAGAAAGCTTTGACAAGTTTTATCACTGTATCTTTGTCAAGGAGCTTGAGTTCAGTCCTCAGACGAGAAGCAGCTAATAACACGGTGTGAAAGACGTCCCCCAGAATCCTACAGAGAAGGAATTCTCCGACGGAAACACAGCATGCATATGTTAAGGTTTAAACTGAGGGTGTTGTAGAGATAATACTTTGTTGATTTTATGAAGTTTTTTCACATTCAGTTTTTCCTCTATAAAATATAATTTGAGTTTGTCAGTGTTTACAGACTAATTTGATTTGATACCATTGGCAAATGAATTTGCAATTAAAACCAAAGTATACTTGCATGGAGTGTTTCGTTGCTCTAATTTGCATAGACTGGCATGGAAAAGTTTTCTTCTTTTTGGCCAGACGTCAAGTCAAAAACATACACAATAACATCAGTTTTGTTTGCATTAAACCCTCTTCAGGGGGTTAATGTAATGGTAAAAAGGCATCAGGGGGAACACTTTGGTGACACATTGTTCTTCTTTCAGGATTCAGAGGGAGACACGCCCCTGCATGACGCCATAAGCAAGAAAAGGGATGACATGCTGTCCGTCCTGCTGGAGGCAGGTGCCGATGTCACCATCACCAACAACAACGGGTTTAATGCCTTGCATCATGCTGCCCTGCGTGGAAACCCCAGGTAAGGGACCGCTGGGTTCTCTCTGCTGCCTATAGGTGAAGGTGACGCTTAACAGTAACAGTAAGACATAGTGAACTTCTAAAATTCTGAACCTCCCACACAGAAAACAACGTCAGAGAGAAATTATTGTCAAAATATTTAGTATCGATCACCAGAATTATGAGGAAATGCTGACTGTTAACCAAAAATGGAGCCTCCAGACAAACTTGCTCATTGTCAGTTTAATTATGTTAGTATAGCACTGACATTACAATTACATTTTGTCATATAGAGCCACAGACTTACCTGAGCCTTTTTCATAAATGAATATCAGACAAAATTGTCTTGTAAAAATATTTGTTTTATTGCAAAAACTAACTGTAAGTATTTTTATTTTATATTTCAGAAATTAATAGAATTTTAAAAGGTAGAGAAAAGTTGTATTGCAATTACCCCATAATGTGTGTACCTTGACTTTTATATGCAGAAGCTGATTCACAGAGGTTTATATTTAAATTCCTAATGTACTAATCCACGACTTTATTATTTTGGTGGAAATTATAAAAGCTTATGTCTACCATTCATTAAAATTTAACGCTACGTTCAGTCATTTACCCGGACAAAAATAGAACCTATAAACAACTGGTGCAGGATGTAATAAACCAAACACCTTACGTGGATAATTCCTCTACAAACTGCAAATAAACTTAAATGTGGCTCAAAGTTGTTAAAGCTAAAATAAGAATAACTTCACTACATCATCAGGCACAGTCTATCTGGCTATAGGCCTCACTGTGATAGTTCTCAATTTAGTTCGACACTGATGAAAGTCTATAATAGGCCAGTAGGCTTTATCTCTCCAACAGATGGCATGGTTTCAGACATACATTAAACTACCTTTGAGGCCATGAAAGCTCCGGTCTTATGTCGACTCCATTTTTTATTAGTGTTTCTAATAGTCCTTGATGTTCATTTGATGTCTGTTTTTATTGCCATACTTGTCCATCATTTTGTCGTGAGCTGAGGTTGGCCTGCAGCAGCTGACCACGTCTCCAGTAGCAGCAGCAGCAACAGCAGCAGCAGCAGTTGCCTCGTCCTTGGTTATTTCTATTTCTGCTGCAGTAGTTTGTTGCTCTGCTTTTAAGCTGTTCTTTTCTTGTCTCTCAACCACAAGCATATTAAAAATGACTCAGGTGTCTATGTTAAGTTAATCATCTGCGCTGGTCTTTTAAGGTGATTTAAGGTGAGTTGAATAATTTGTGTTCTATACGTTGGATGTTGGCTAAATTAACATACTGAATATTGTTTTCTTTTACAGTCCTTTTAGTAGAGTTGATGATCATTTAATTATTTTCTTAAATATTAATTTATTTTTTACCTCTGTCTGTTTCAATAGAATATTCTTTTTCACTGTCACACCTTAAATAACAGGGGAAAAAAAATTGACACATGTAAATACACAGACCAGTATTGTATGTACTTGTAATACACACCATATTTTTTGTTCCTAGCAGTGAAGCAGAACTTCAGGGCTGTTCAGTACCACCACCCCACCCCACCCCATACCAGTTTGTACCAGGTGCACAGTATTTTATTAGGGCTGCTGTCATGTTGTCTGTGCGTGTTGCTTTCTTTGGTCCGTGCTCCGTCCCCTTGCCTCACAGAAACGAAGATATATGTCACCTCTCCCGTCTGTCCATTTACTTTTATTTCACGCTCGAGCTCCTGCAGTATGAGGGAGACGGTCCACGAGTCCTAAAGCCCTCGAAAATCTCTCCCCGGGTTGAAGTGAAAGTACCTTGTCTGGTGTATATTTAGACGAGAGGCAGTTGTTTCGATTGAGTGCTTAGAGGCACTCCTGCTGTAGTATCACATTTCGACAAAAGTATGCTTGATAACCCTCCAAGTGTCTGTAGCTGGAAGCTGGTCGGACAAACAATATGACATTGTGCCTTCTGGTTAATCATTGATTTTAGTATTGTTTCCTGTTAGTAGATTGACCAATTGTGGTGCTCCGTCTCCTCCTTGTTGAGATTGAACAGTATGGCAGAATGTTCTGACAGTGAAGGTTTAATCTGGTCTAATCTGTAGTTTCCTGCCAGCACTGAAACAATTCAACAAGGGTTAAATTACTTCCACTTGGTGAAGGAATCTCTCATGCTTTCTTACTGAGAGTACTACGGGTCAATTTTAGCTCCTAGTTCCTAGTAGAGTGTGTGCGCCGTAGTCGCTGCGCGCGCGTGTGAGTGTGTGTGTGGTGTCAGGATGCTTTAGTGAAAGCGGGGTCTTCCAGCAGTGGTGAGAAGATTGAGGAAGATGCACAAGAATAACCCCGTGGGTGACGGATGAATCTTTCAACTTGGAGTGCTGAATACTGAGACAAATCAACTGTACCAACAGGGGCGCGGCACAAACTGGGGAGTTTTACAGTTTCACCTTCTACATTACTCTCACACTCACCCACTCCGGAGTGTAAAGGCATTCCCTTATAAATTAGACCTAGTTGTTAAGTTTTACAATTGCCACTAAATTGAAAGTGCCGGTATCACAAGCCTTAACACGCTCAGAGTTTTCTTGGACATCCACGTCGTGTGTTCCCCTTTGTGTGTTTACTGCAACCCCAGCCTGCGAGGAGAGCCTGGCTCGTCTCTGTGTCTTTCCCTCTGGCTGCTGGAAGCCAGTAGCTGCTACAGTACTGTAAACAGAACGATTAATAGCCCGTGACTCATAAACGGTCTCCAAACAAGCCCTGCAGCAGCAGTCTGTACCCTCTTACGTGTCACCCACTTGTATTATTTGCCCCCGTCCTTGTCTTACACGGCGCTCAGCTTTCCTTCAATATAGAAACATGCAAACAAAGCTAATATGCTAATATACACCACTGTAAATGCTCCGTACAAAGTCACACATGCTACTAAATGAAGCTAAATATCCTCTTCTTCGTTAAAGAGCTTCACCGCTGGATCAATAACAGTGTTTTAAGTACACAAGGATAAATATTAGAAACTAGTAAAATCCCCGGCATTTCTGTGACTAATTAGAGCAATTAAAAAGCTAGAAACAGAAAATACCAAGATGTTATGTAGAATTTAAACGCGAGTCTCTCGTGTTTTTCCCCACCAGTCATATCCGTCTGAGTAATTAGACACATTAAACAAGCTCACGGCTTCGAGATCGATTCCGCACAAGTGATTGAAGAGTGTTTTTGTTGTTCTGAGTACTTGTCAGTTTGACGTAGTATTGAGCACCAAATTAGAAATAAAATCATCAGAAATAAAAGAGAGGGAAATTGGGGGGAAAGCCGGCGTGGAAGAATTCATTTTTATCTGCCTGTTTTCTGTGCGGGGACAATGAGTGAATATTTGAGGCTGTAGCTGTTTGCAGATGTCTGCATCTATGATTTGTGCACACTCCTCCCGCCCTTTAGAGCATCTGGCTCTCATCTACCTCATCTTGTCCAACTTTATTGCGGCAGGCTTTAGTAGCTAGGTGAATAGAAGACCGTAGTGCTTGCACGTATTTGCACGGTGTACTCTCCAAACCTTGTCCCTTCTCGTTTCTTTTCTTTTTTTTTTTTTTTTAAATATAATTTTAAAGGCCCTTGCAATGTCACTCCACCCCTGCCTGGCTACATTAGCTCTTTTTTAGCCTGTCCCACCCCCCACAGTGTAATTGACTGTTAGCATCTAGTGACAGTCAGCTCAGGAGGTGTCTCAGCAAGACAGTTGCACATTCTCACACAGACATGTGTGTGCTGTGTTTCTGAAATAGCACGCACACACAATTCTACCCCCTGCTATTTTTGAAACAGCCATTGATAGTGTGGTCAGAATATCAATCCCCCTCCAGAGGCAGAGAGGCAACACTTAGAAGTGAGGAAAGAGCAACATACCAAAGTTTTGTTTTTGAAAAAAATAGTTTTGATATTTTTATTAGTTCAAAATTAAGTTACATTTTACATTGGTACACGTACATTGTGGCAATAAGAGGAAAAAATAAAGGTGTTTTGAAGGCATTCCAGCAGAAAGTTCTCCTGTAGTCATCAAAGCATAGCTACAGCTGGTTGAAGGGGACCAAATCCATTCAAGAGGTGATTTGGTTCCATTTTACCAGCTTTAGCATAGCATTTTGAATCAATGTTTTACAATGAGAGAGAAAAGAATAGTGGAAGTCATCTCAGCTCTAAAGTTCATCCGGCACCAAAAAAGAGAAGAAAGACCATTGTACGTGTGTGTTGAATGATCAGTTGTTTGCTTATTTCTGCTTTTCTCTCACTTGTTCACCTTTATCTACTCTGTGAGGCACAAAGAAAATTCACTCGATTACATCTCATTTCCAACCACAGCATCAACTCAAAGGTACATTTGTTCAACCTTTACTTTACAACTTTTCTGCTTTGTCGGCAACCTATTTACCCTCCCCGCTATCTCTTTTAGTTTTTACGCTTTACCCCCTCCCAAAGTGTGAGAAAAATCACTCCCCAAGAAAAGGATAATAATAATCTGTGGCAGTGCACTTGAGTCAAATGTCCTGGAGTCATGAAGCAATTACAGGCTTTGACAGATGGGCCCTGTTGCAAGCGCGCCGCTACTCCGGTCACCGAGACTGCCAGCAGACAAATGCACAGGCGTGAGCGCATGCACATGCTCGCTTTTACTCATTCTCCTACTGTAGAGCTCTGAGGCGTCAAGTCACGGCATTAATTTAAACCAGTCATTTAAGTGCAAGGGAGACTGATTTGTAGTGCAGCGGGTAGTGTTTGAACGGTGACTGAAGCCAGATTATAATGTGTCTCATTCAGGACTCGGCAGCCACATCAGCTCATAACAGTCTTTACAAATAAAAATCACAGTCATATTTTACAGGAAAAAAAAAACTAGAAAAAACTAGCACCTACAGAATAAACTGTTATTTAAGTTATTTTAATAGAGCTACCAATGTTGCAAGCTGCTTTTTCCACCTCTTGCATTTAAAAATAGCATTGTTAGATTTAGTTTTTTTTTTTGTCTTTAATATCTGTC